CAACAACCTCCCCTCCTCCCCCTTCTCCCCCTCCTCCCCCTCCTCCTCCTCCCTCCTCTTCCTCCTTCCTCCTCCTCCTCCTCCTCCTCCTCCTCCTCCTCCCCCTCCTCCTCCACCACCACCACCTCCTCCTCCTCCTCCTCCTCCTCCCTCCTCCTCCTCCTCCTTCTCCTCCCCCTCCTCCTCCTCCTTCTCCTCCAGCTCCTCCTCCCCCTCTGCCCCCCTCCTCCTCCGCCTCCTCCTCCTCCTCGTCCTTCTCCGGCGGAGGAGGAGCGACACTGGCCAGCAGGGGAAGGGCGGACAAGGGAAGAAGGAAGATCCAAGAGGGGCAGGGTGAGAAGCACCCACAATGGAGAGGAGGCCATCCGCTGCCATTCGCGAGGGCTCCCGACGTCAGACACAACGCCATCCCTGAACCATCAAAGCAAGTTGCGGATTCGATCATCTCTGCGGGCGAGCTTTCGAAAGCGGAGGAGAAGGACCAGTGCAAGCCCAAGACGCACCAACGGTGTTGCAATAAACTATCCCTCCAAAATCCCTCTTCACAAGTCCCTGCAACGATTCATGTTCCCTGTCCGAAATGCCCCGTTGGAAGACAACCGTCTGAGCACACTGAATCGTGCCAAAGCACCACTCCTTCGACTTCAAAGCCGCGAATTAACTTCATGATTGCGTCCAGACGATCCTGAATCGTACCGGAACGACGTTCCTGGGACTTCAAAACTGCAAACCAACGTGACGGCTGAGCCTTGACAATCCTAAATCCTGCCCCAAGAAACCATTCCTGGGGCGTCATACATGAGAGTTCACTAAGCTGTCGGAAACGCTTGACACGAATGCGCGCACCGCTAATCGCCAATGCGAAAAAACACATGTTGAAAACCACCCGCCCTCCACCCGTGAAACTGCTGCACACTTTTAAAACGAATGTGCGCGGCGCTTAGGCGAGAGCCACATGTCGAAAACCAGCCACGCTCCATCCGTGAAGCGTGTGCAAACTTTTAAAACGAAATTGCGCGGCGCTAATGAAGGAACCACATGTTGAAAACCACCCGACCTCGATCCGTGAAACTTCTGCAAACTTTTAAAGGAATGTGCGCGGCGCTATGGCGAGAACCGCATATTGAAAACCGCCCCGCCTCCATCTGTGAAGCTGAAGCGAATGCCCAGCCCGCCCTACCGACACGTCTCGGGGTTGGACAGGGAGGAGTTGCTTGTGAGGAAAAGGGATTGAAGAGGGGGCAACATGGGAAGATGGGGGTGGAGTGGCAGTGTGTGTGTGTGTGTGTGTTTGTGTGTGTGCGTGTGCGTGTGCGTGTGCGTGTGTGCGTGTGTGTGTGTGCGCGTGTGTGTGTGCGTGTGTGTGTGTGTGTGTGTGTGTGTGTGTGTGTGTCTGTGTCTGTGTCTGTGTCTGTGTCTGTGTCTGTGTCTGTGTCTGTGTCTGTGTCTGTGTCTGTGGGGGGGGGGGACGGGGAGGGGGGGGGGCAGAGGGAGGAAAAAAGAGGACGAGGAGGAGAACGACGACGGCGACAACAACGACGACCATCTTGCGAGCATGTGATCTGGCAAGCTGTGTCTCCGTCTCCCCGCACCCACCCGCTGAACCTATGACCCCCCCCTCTAGGGGGGCTCTTTTTATACCCGCTGCCCGGAGAAGCATTGAGCAGTGCACTCTGTGCGCGCACCACGCCGACATGGCTGTCATGCGAGCTAGCGCGCCCGCGAACAACTCACCAACGTGAGTGAATGAAGGGGCCCTGGGTCACACAAATAAATACACACAAATAACAGGATTCCCTATAGTTTCCCGTGTTTCCTGAGTGAAGTGCCAGGAAGTCTGGTCAGAGAGCGTCAATCTGAAGTTTCGGGGGCCCCACGGCGTCTCAGAGCAAACTGTGGGGAAGCATCGAGCGGGAGCCGTTGTCCCCTTTGCTGGGACTCCACAGGAATCAATCAGTTGCGACGAAGTTTCGAGCGAGAGCGCTCTTCCTGCGTGTGATGATGCATGTGATCAGGGCGTGTCGAGTAAACTGCGAAAGAAGTATCGAATGGGAGCCGTTGTTGTCGTAGATGGGCCTGCAACAACTGGTCTCACTTGCGAGGAAATCTCGAGCCCGAGCGCCGTTCCTGAGCTTTGGGGCCTTTCTGGCCAGGGCGTTTCGGACTAAGCTGAAAGGAAGTGTCGAGCGGGAGCCATTTTCGTCGCAGCTGGGCCTCTGTCACCTTGGCTCTAGTGTGGGGGAATCTCGAGCGAAAGCGCGGTTCCTGAGTTTGGGCCTCTTTGGCCAGAGCGTCTCGGAGTAAATTGTAAGGGGGAATCGAGCGAGAGCCGTTGTCGTCGTAGCTAGACCTCCAACAGCACACATTGGTTCCCAAGCCCGCGCTCGAGCGGGATCCTCAGTTTCAAATCAAATGCAGCTGGCGTCGAGGCGAGAGCGCCCAGAACTAATTCCAGAGATCAGCATATACTCTTTAGGAATGAACTTTCTAAGAAGAAGGCGAGGAGGACGACGAAGACGATGGCGATGACAAGGCTGGGGATGACGACGAGAGCGAGGGTAAGGGCGGGGTGGAAACGGGCGGAGGTGTAGGAAGGGGACGGGGCTAGGGAAGGTAAGGAGAAGTGAAAACCTAATCAGACCAAGGAGGGCGAACTGGGCCTGGTTCGGCCGCTTCCTCCATGGGAAACCCCCCAATCAACCCTGGGGGACTCCCTTCTTGTTGGTCTGGGTAGGCTTCTTTTGCCCCCTCAGGAGGGAGGAGGTGGAGCAGGGGGGAGGCAGACAAGGGGGGCCGTGCCTATCCTTGGCGATCCGCCAGCCCGCCGGAAGCCTCGCCTCGGAGAGCGCCTCTGGAGGCACACAACGACACGCCTGCGCCAAAGTCCCATTGAGAACAGAGGGACGACACGCTGATTGGATCGCAGCAGGTGGTGGATCGAACTCATCGGTCGCCTCTGCTTCCTCTTCCTCCTCCTCTCAGACTGGCTAGCCCGCAGACCGGCATACTCCTGGACTGCGGACTCTGGAGCCACCGCCACCCGTGCGTGGACTAGCGAGCTCGCCGACCACCTCCGACATCCCACTACAGTGGCCGCAGACGAACCACATCAGTGATCAGGTACGGTCCTACAGAAGAACATCGTTTAAGAACATGAGACCCTCCGCCGGCCAAACTGAAGAACATTCGAGGGTGCCCTCCCCCAGGATGCAAAAGAATATCCAACAATCACGACGAACATTAAGGCACCCTCCCCGTAAGTATTAGGTATCACGACGAATCTCATACCTCGGCCCGACCGTGGGTACGTTCTCAAAAGCAGAAACCAACACCATAAACATAAACTTTTGGCGCTCCGCGCGGAATTCTTGGAACTGAGCTGGACCCCCCTCCCCGGCGCGCGGAGCGCGCCAGGGGCGGCGCCGCTGGGGGGGCCCAGCGCAGATCCAAGAAATCCGCGCGGAGCGCCCAAAGTTTATTTGTATGGCGTTTTGTTCTTCTTCGAGTGCTATGAGCCAGATCATGACTGCTTTGTCTCTGCTTGAAATGAGCTCCCTGCCGACAACGCCTGCAGCGCGATGGGCGCCAGGCCGCGAGCCTTGCACGCTCGGAGCAGGCTTCCTGGCAGCGCTGGACTGGCAGCGCGAGGTGCGCCGGGAGCGGCGGGCCGCCCACAGGAGCGCTGTGCGCCAGGAGCGCGAGGCGCAGCGCGAGGTGCGCCAGGAGGAGGAGGAGGAGGAGGAGGAGGAGGAGAGTGGAGGAGGAGGATGGAGGAGGAGGAGGAGATGGGAGGAGGGAGGAGGGAGGAGGAGGGGAGGAGGAGGGGAGAGGAGAGGAGGAGGAGGAGGAGGAGGAGGAGGAGGAGGAGGAGAGAGGAGGAGGAGGGGAGGAGGAGGAGGAGGAGGAGGAGGAGGATGCCACGGCTGCAGCAACGCAGGCCGCGCGAAGCAGGCCGGAAGCGAGCCCACACGCGTGGCGCACGGGGGGCACGCGCGAGGCACGCTGCAGGGGCCCTGGCCGGGGGCACCTGCAGTGAGGGAACCACGGTCGGGAACTGCCAAGCGGCCTCCAAAGGGCACCGATGTTGTTGGCCAGGGAACTCTGGCCGGTGACCTCCGACGGCCTCCGGCGACCTCAAAGAGGTCACCAGCGGCCGGGTCACCAGCAGCAGCGTGAAGCAAGCCCTGGTACACGTGTACATGCTCGCGCCTCTCGGGGGAATGCAACACCATATCACAGCGGCGGCCCCGGGGCACCTGCAGTGAGGGAACGACGGTCGGGAACTTTTGCACAGCTGAGTACGGTTTAACCGATCCCCATCCCCAGCGGCGTGGCCTGGGCCCCACTGGGCGATTTACCCCCCTGGATGGGGATGTGTGTCGTTCTCTTCGGGTTTCGAGGGGTGCATCCCCAACTGGGGTGGTAATTCGGTGGGGGTCTCGGAGGGGATGGAGATGGGGACGGGGATCGGCTAAACGATACCGAACAGCGTGTCGCGGCGGCGGCCCCGGCGACACGCGCCATGCCGTGCGAGCGGACAGCGTGTCGCTCCACTCCACGGGGCAGGAGGCTCGGAAAAGCTCGAGACGCTGACACGTGGGGACCGGGACGTGGATAGCGTGTCGCGCCGAAGCGTGGTGGGCCAGAACCGGCGGGGCGACACGGTGTCCCAAAGTTCACAACCGTACCCAAGCAAGCAGCGAGAGACGTCCAGGCAAGGCTGGTTGGGCAAGAAGGCGACGCGCCAAGGCCAACCTCTGGCTGGCACGCCGCAACTTGTCTCCAGCATGACAGAGCAGGGGATGAGATCGCCCCAGATGGGCGTGTTGCGAGGCACGATGCCCGAGGTGATCCACCCTGGCTTCGATGCACGTCGCACGAGAGGGCACCAGAGAGGGAGGTGGAGGAGGAAGGGACTGAGGAGGGGGCCAACCAGCCCGCCGCACTCTTGGTGCCGGCACTCGCTCCTGTGCCCCCGAAGCTTGGACAAGGAGGGCCAGCACGGCCCTCTACGCCAGGTTCGTGTCGTGACGGCCCTGGCGATGGCTTTCTGCTAGCGCGTACACCGTTCAGCCTTGAACGGTCAGCGGCTCTTTGACCGCCAGATCGTGCCATACTAGGGGAAATCGACATGTATCGATACCGCTACTCTCTGGACCTCTCATGGGGTACGTTCTGACCAGGATTTCGAAGCGAATCCAGCGGTGGCGACGAGGGCCGTCCAGTAGGCCCAAGAAGGGGAAAACGAGGGAAGGGTAGCAGTATGGGTACCGTCTCTTCCTCCGAATATTCGCCGGTTCTGGGCCACTGGCGACGTTCAACCTTGAACACCCGCGGCGGGTCGCTGCCGCGTCGGCACGACACAAGCCTACCGCACGCAGAACGCATCCGCACACCGCCACCCTGCCTGGCCAGGGCCGCCCCAGGCCCCAGGGCGGTGCGCGCGCGCACTCCCGTGCCGAAGCCGAAGCCGAGGCCGAGGACCAAAAGCCTCGTTCCTCGAACCACGAGTCTCGAGCGGCGGCGACGACGTCTACACACTTGATTAATCTCTACGGAACCCTTGGACGAGAACAAACTGCCATCTGAATACCTACCAAACCAACCCAACCGAACCCGAAGATTTGAATACGGGTTCCACACGTGTTTTTCCACACATCCAAAATGGGGTTCTTGTTTTCTCTGGACAGCCCGCGCAGGAACCAGAACACACACTACATCATCACCAAGTTACTCACTCACTCACTCACTCACTCACTCACTCACTCACGCACGCACTCATCATAGACTCATGCACTCAGTCATCACGTCGCCATCATGCACACACATACAAACACACACACTTATCACCATCAACATCAATACCTCATTCACTCACCCACTCATTCGCTAGCTTGAATACGGGGGAGGTATCAGGCGGGAGCCTCGTCTGTGAGTGAACTGTGAGGAAGTCTCAGGCGGGAACCCCTTCCGTATTGGGGCCCGCACCTCACGTTTTTAATCCGAGCGGGTCACCCTCGAACTTGTAACTGTCGTCACTTTTAGTCTCCTTCGGCCTGAATATGGGGGAAAGGCAGGAGCCTCGTCTGTGAGTGAACTGTGGGGAAGTCTCCTGCGGGAGCCCCTTCCCTATTGGGGCCCGCACCTCACGTTTTCAATCCGAGCGGGTCATCCTCGAACTTGTAACTGTCGTCAAATTTGGGCTTCTTAGGCCTGAATATGGGGGACGTATCAGGCGGGAGCCTCGTCTGTGAGTGAAGTGTGAGGAAGTCTCAAGCGGGAACCCCTCCCTTTGGGGTACGCATTTCATATGTTTAATCCGAGCGGGTAATCCTCGAACCTGTAATGTCGTCACTTTTGGGCTCCCGAGGCTTGGATATCGGGGAGGTATCAGACGGGAGCCTCGTTTGTGAGTGAACCGTGGGGAATTCTCAGGCGGGATCCCCCTCCCTATGCGCTCTTCAAAAAGCGATTCGCCCGACCCATCAGGTGAGGAGGAAGAGGAGGAACAGGAGGTGAGGACGACGACGGCGGCCGGGCGCAGGGGGAAAACCTTGCGTCCGGGCCAGGGGTGGTAACCCATCCTCGGTCGAAGCGGGGGCAGGGTTGTCCCAACGGCCGCGCGACGCGGCCATTCGAGCATGCGCACGCGCTGGCCGTGGCGGCGACGGCGTCAAAGAAAATCGACGCGCACGCTCTTGGAATAGACAGGAGAGAAGGTGGTGGGTGACGAAACAAACAGCAGGAGGGCGAGGCAAGGGCAACGCGGGGAGCGTGTGAGGGCCCTGCGCCAGGGCGAGAATGATAACGACGCAGAAAAGATAATAATGGCGCCTCGCTGATCGCGAGGACGACAGTGAAGGTCAGCTCCAGATTAGCCAAAAGGATTTTCATGTGGGGTCTTTCCGTCGGAGTGATTCGATGCGATGTTACCCGACACCCCCCACTGGGAATGGAGGGCAAATTGGGGCCTTCGGGTTGGGTTGGGGTGGCTTGGTGGGTGGTGATCTCTTACTTAGGGCGGAATTTTTGTCGCTGGTTCGCGACATCTGGGCGGAGAAGATTGATGCAACATCGGCGCAGAAACACTACCCAGGAAGCCGGGGTAATATCTACGATGTCTGCTTTAACCGTACATGCAATGGCAATTCCAAGAGGGTCCGCAGTTTCAGATGCCACCGTACAGAAAAAGTGGTCCACCCCTGTTTTGTATGTAAAGAAAGGCACCGGAAAAATAACGCAAAACTGACTACTTTCAAACCTCCGACGGGGGAATACATGGCTGTACCTTTCTTGGGACGGATTCGAATATTTGGATTCCGACAGCCTCCACTGCCGGCCTCCGCCGCCCTTCCGCCACCTGCCGCCTGGAAGAAGGCGCCGCCTCCTCCCCCCCTCAAGGGCGTGGGGGGGAGAAGTCGGCTCCTCCTCCTCCTCCTCCTCCTCCTCCTCCTCCTCCCGCCCCTCCTCCTCCTCCTCCTCCTCCTTCTTCTACTCCTC